ACCAAGGAAGGCAAATTACTAAGAAATAAACGATGAACAGAACCTCTCTTGGACCCTTCCTACCAACCATGATCTGCCTGTGTTGCCGAGAGAAACACAGGGACCCAATGATAATGGGTTTCAAAAAAGTAAGTAGAAGGAATCATGGAAGGAATAATGTTTTACAATACATCCAGACGAAGATTTTATTTCATTTGGGGTTAGTAGGTGAAGCTGTACATTCTTTTCATGACTAACTGGTGGATAACATTCTTGATATAGGGGGCCTCAGGTGTGGCCCTCAACATCACCAAAGGGCCACACATAAAATTCAGTGGATATTCAGTGTCAGAGACGGCAGACACAGTACAGGAGACGGACCAGAGACTGCAGACGTAGTACAGGAGATGGTCAGAGACTGCGGACATAGTACAGGAGATGACCAGAGACTGCGGACACAGTACAGGAGATGGTCAGAGACTGCGGACATAGTACAGGAGATGGTCAGAGACTGCGGACATAGTACAGGAGATGACCAGAGACTGCGGACACAGTACAGGAGATGGTCAGAGACTGCGGACATAGTACAGGAGATGGTCAGAGACTGCGGACATAGTACAGGAGATGGTCAGAGACTGCGGACATAGTACAGGAGACGGTCAGACCAGAGACTGCGGACACAGTACAGGGGATGGACCAGAGACTGCGGACACAGTACAGGAGACGACCAGAGACTGCAGACATAGTACAGGAGATGACCAGAGACTGCGGACACAGTACAGGAGACGGACCAGAGACTGCAGACATAGTACAGGAGATGACCAGAGACTGCGGACACAGTACAGGAGATGACCAGAGACTGCAGACACAGTACAGGAGATGACCAGAGACTGCAGACACAGTACAGGAGATGACCAGAGACTGCAGACACAGTACAGGAGATGACCAGAGACTGCGGACACAGTACAGGAGATGACCAGAGACTGCGGACACAGTACAGGAGATGACCAGAGACTGCAGACACAGTACAGGAGATGACCAGAGACTGCAGACACAGTACAGGAGATGACCAGAGACTGCAGACACAGTACAGGAGATGGTCAGAGACTGCAGACATAGTACAGGAGACGGTCAGAGACTGCGGACACAGTACAGGAGATGGTCAGAGACTGCAGACATAGTACAGGAGACGGTCAGAGACTGCGGACACAGTACAGGAGATGACCAGAGACTGCAGACATAGTACAGGGGATGACCAGAGACTGCGGACACAGTACAGGAGATGGTCAGAGACTGCAGACATAGTACAGGAGATGATCAGAGACTGCAGACATAGTACAGGAGATGGTCAGAGACTGCGGACACAGTACAGGAGATGGTCAGAGACTGCAGACACAGTACAGGGATGGTCAGAGACTGCAGACATAGTACAGGGGATGACCAGAGACTGCGGACACAGTACAGGAGATGACCAGAGACTGCGGACACAGTACAGGAGATGACCAGAGACTGCGGACACAGTACAGGAGATGACCAGAGACTGCAGACATAGTACAGGAGATGGTCAGAGACTGCGGACACAGTACAGGAGATGACCAGAGACTGCAGACACAGTACAGGAGATGGTAGTATGCGTTTATAAACTATGGTATAGATACTGCAATTTGTGCCATTTATTTGCTATACAGCGCTGTGATAGTTTAACTGACAATTGCGCGGTCATGCAACGCTGCACCCAAATGAAATTTACATCCTTTATTTCACACAAATAGAGCTTTCTTTCGCCAGTATTTGATCACCTGTGCGCTTTTTATTTTTTGCGTTATAAACAAAAAAAGTCCATACATTTTGAAAAAAAACCAATATTTTCTCATTTCTGTCATAAAAAATATCTGAAATACTCAAATTTTGTCATTAATTTAGGCCAAAATGTATTCTGCTCCATGTTTTTGGTAGAAAAAAATCCCAATAAGTGTATATTGATTGCTTTGTGTGACAGTTATAGAGATACAGACTATGGGAGAGATAATGGAATGTACAGCTATTACTTTCTGACTGACCATCACACTTCTTGAGGTGCTAAAATGCCAGGACAGTACAACACCCCCAAATACCAGGACAGTACAAGACCCCCAAATACTAGGATAGTACAAACACCCCCAAATACCAGGATAGTACAAACACCCCCAAATACCAGGACAGTACAACACCCCCAAATACCAGGACAGTACAAGACCCCCAAATACCAGGATAGTACAACACCCCCAAATACCAGGATAGTACAACACCCCCAAATGCCAGGACAGTACAAACACCCCAAATACCAGGATAGTACAACACCCCCAAATACCAGGATAGTACAACACCCCCAAATACCAGGATAGTACAAACACCCCCAAATGCCAGGACAGTACAACACCCCCAAATACCAGGACAGTACAACACCCCCAAATGCCAGGACAGTACAAACACACCCCAAATGCCAGGATAGTACAAACACCCCCAAATACCAGGATAGTACAACACCCCCAAATACCAGGATAGGACAACACCCCCAAATACCAGGACAGTACAACACCCCCAAATGCCAGGACAGTACAACACCCCCAAATACCAGGACAGTACAACACCCCCAAATGCCAGGATAGTACAAACACCCCCAAATGCCAGGATAGTACAAACACCCCCAAATACCAGGATAGTACAACACCCCCAAATGCCAGGACAGTACAACACCCCCAAATACCAGGATAGTACAACACCCCCAAATGCCAGGACAGTACAACACCCCCAAATGCCAGGACAGTACAACACCCCAAATGCCAGGACAGTACAACACCCCCAAATGCCAGGACAGTACAAACACCCCCAAATGCCAGGATAGTACAAACACCCCAAATGCCAGGGTAGTACAACACCCCCAAATGCCAGGACAGTACAAACACCCCAAATGCCAGGACAGTACAAACACCCCCAAATACCAGGACAATACAAACACCCCAAATACCAGGACAGTACAACACCCCCAAATACCAGGACAGTACAACACCCCAAATACCAGGACAGTACAACCCCCAAATACCAGGACAGTACAACACCCCCAAGTACCAGGACAGTACAACACCCCCAAGTACCAGGACAGTACAACACCCCCAAATGCCAGGACAGTACAAACACCCCCAAATGCCAGGACAGTACAAACACCCCCAAATGCCAGGATAGTACAAACACCCCCAAATACCAGGATAGTACAACACCCCCAAATGCCAGGACAGTACAACACCCCCAAATGCCAGGATAGTACAACACCCCCAAATGCCAGGATAGTACAACACCCCCAAATGCCAGGATAGTACAAACACCCCCAAATGCCAGGACAGTACAACACCCCCAAATGCCAGGACAGTACAAACACCCCCAAATACCAGGACAGTACAAACACCCCCAAATACTAGGATAGTACAACACCCCCAAATACCAGGATAGTACAACACCCCAAATGCCAGGACAGTACAAACACCCCCAAATACCAGGATAGTACAAACACCCCAAATGCCAGGGTAGTACAAACACCCCCAAATGCCAGGACAGTACAAACACCCCAATGCCAGGACAGTACAAACACCCCAAATACCAGGACAGTACAAACACCCCAAATACCAGGACAGTACAACACCCCCAAATACCAGGACAGTACAACACCCCCAAATACCAGGACAGTACAAACACCCCCAAATACCAGGACAGTACAAACACCCCCAAATACCAGGACAGTACAAAACCCCCCAAATACCAGGTAGTACAAACACCCCCAAATACCAGGACAGTACAAACACCCCAAATGCCAGGATAGTACAAACACCCCCAAATGACCCCTTTTCGGAATGTAGACACCCTAAGCTATCTGCTGAGAGGCCTATTGAGTCCATGGAAGATTTATTCTTTTACCACAAGTTTTTGGAAAATTACAAAAAACATTTTTTTTTTTTACACAAATATTTCTCACACAAGCCATGGGTATATGTGGAATTACACCCCAAAATACATCTTGCTACTTCTCCCGAGTATGGGGGTACCACATATGTGAGACTTTCTGGGAGCCTAGCCACATACAGGAGCCGGAAAAGACCACCTTGAAAGCCCGAAGGTGCGTAACTTCCTCATTTCACTTCCTCACTACCTATCTCAGTTTCAGAGGCCCGGGATAGCACCAACCCCCCCCCCCCCCCCACCAAATTCCCCCTTTTTGGAAAGTAGACACCCCAAGGAATTTGATAAGAAGTATGGTGAGTATTGTGCAGATCTCATTTTTTCTCACAAGGTTTTGATTTGAAATCTAAAAAAGGAAAAGAAAAAATGTTTCTGTTTTCTTTCTTCATTTTCAAAAAACTTGTGGCAACAAACGAGATCTGCAAAATACTCGCCATGCTTCTTATCCAATTCTTTGGGGTGTCTACTTTCCAAAAAGGGGTCATTTTATTTGGGGGGGGGGGGGTGGGGGATTGGTGCTATCCAGGCATTTCAGGGCCTCCGAAACTGAGATAGGTAGTCAGGAAGTGTAATGAGGAAATAAAGCCCTTTAAAAGCCTGAAGGTGCTGATTGGATTTTGGGCCCCTGTATGTGGCTAGACTGCCAACTCGTCTCTCACATGTGGTACCCCCATACTCGGGAGAAGTAGCAGAATGTATTTTGGGGAGTAATTCCACATATACCCATGGCCTGTGTGAGCAGTCCTCTCCGCTCGGCTCCCCGCGATGAACCCGCCGCCGGAGCACGCCGCCTTCCCGGAGGATTGTACGCGCATTGCGATAATCTGCACCTGCGGCAGCTGCCACTGCGACCCAAACACAGGTGACTCCCTGACGTTCCGCGACCTCTAACTGTCCTCAGAGAGCAACGCAGGGAAACGAATCATTCCATTTATTTACAGACGCCCAGAAGAGGAAACAGAAACACGAATGAGATGATGCTGAAATCATTTCATTCTGACCTCCGGCTCCTCCCCTCCAGTCTTGCACAGGTGTACCGGCTCCTCCCCTTCAGTCTTGCACAGGTTTACCGGCTCCTCCCCTTCAGTCTTGCACAGGTGTACCGGCTCCTCCCCTTCAGTCTTGCACAGGTGTACCGGCTCCTCCCCTTCAGTCTTGCACAGGTGTACCGGCTCCTCCCCTTCAGTCTTGCACAGGTGTAACGGCTCCTCCCCTTCAGTCTTGCACAGGTGTACTGGCTCCTCCCCTGGACTGAAATACCTTCCTCTGATATTACTGCACACTGGGAGCTTCTCACAATGTGCATTAGAAGCTGCAGCCAGTCAGATAGAGCTCCGCCTCATTTCCTGGCTGGAGGACGCCCAGCATCATCTAGTGCTTTCCTCCTCAGCCTGACTGTCCCTTTCCCCGCCCCTTTCATTCATTGGATTTAATTTCTTTCAATCATGGAACCTCAGGATCACATGTGGGTGCTACCAATGAAAATACAGCCTGCCTAGGAATGCCCACTCCTCCAGACCGACACCCACCTATTAAGGCATTGTGATGTATTTGCATGGTTATGATTGCATAACTCCTCCCACTGCTTACACCAGGACTGAGGGCTCTGGGGAGGTGCACTGAGCCAGGGTGCCGTGATGTTTTCAGAGAGCTATGTACAGCACCCTGCCGGTCCCTCCCACCAGCCATGATCTGCCTGCATTGGATAGAGAAGCACAGAGACCCAGTGATGACATCACTGGGAATAAAATAAGGTATTTAATGAAAATGGAAAAGTTTAGTTAAAAAAAAAATTGTTAGCATGTTGACGGGGGGGGGGGGGGGGGGGGGGGGGGGGGGGGGGGGGGGGGGGGGGGGGGGGGGGGGGGGCGGGGTTTGTCGGGTGTGAAAGCAAATATGGAATTTAAATTTCCGCTTTAAGTGACACACTGTGGAGGATACAGGTCCAGGATTGATGATGAGCCCCTTGCACCCTCCTACACCAGGAGTGACACACTCCTACTTCAGGTTCCAGCTCCACTCTCTACAGCCCCATCCCCACAGCCCAGAGCTATGTGACACACAGGCACTGTGAAAGGCCTGCTGAATCTGGCTACAATGGAAATGAAAGGCACATCCAACGGAATGGATTTCCTGCCGTGTTTCCTGGACGGATCGTTGCCGTCGGTGATTATTAGTCCATCATCCAATCATTTCTGCACTCCGGGCCCTCGGGAGTTAAGGCTCCTCGGCGTATCGGCGGCAGATGTCACACGAAGATTACCTCCCGCGTTTTCCATCCAGACGCCCATTTCTTCCACCCGTAATCTGCAGATGGCAGCTCTGCAAAGGGGATTTTCGGCGGCGGCGGCTCATGAAAATCACCGAAATCGCAGTCAGCGAAGATCGCGTTCAACTTTTGGGTGACAAAATTCTAGAGACGGGGCGTGGGAGGGGCGTGACCCCCGACTCCGGATCCCTGATGAAGTCACCCGGTCAGACCGCTGCGATGTCAGGCGTGATTTCAAATCGCATCTAATGAATGTGAATGTCGGCGTCTTAACGTGCGATTTGCTGTGGCGCCATTTCCAGGGCTTTTATCTCAGAAAATAGGTGCAGCTACCCCACCCCCTCCCCCCTTTCAAGTCACCCCCTTGTCTCCGCCCCCTTCTCACCTCCAAGCACCGTCTCTATGGAATTTGGTGCTGATTACAAGAAAAGCAGTAAATAAGATCATTAGACCCCCCCCAGCAACAATAGATCCTTCCATCAGCAATAGACCTCCCCAAACAACAACAGATGCCCTACAACAAAATACCCCTCCCCCTGCAACAATATAACCCCTGCAACAATAGATCAACCAAAACAAAATACACTTTCCCCCACCAGAAACAATAGATCCCTCCATCAGCAATAGGTCCTCCCCCCAGTAACAATAGATCCACCACAACAAAATACACCTTCCCCCAGCAACAATAGATCCTGCCATCAGCAATAGGCCCTCCCCCAGTAATAATAGATCCACCACAACAAAATACACCTTCCCCCCAGCAACAATAGATCCTGCCATCAGCAATATACCCCCCAGCAACAACAGGTGCCCTACAACAAAATACTCCTTCCCACCACAACAATATATCCCCTGCAGAAAGAGATCCACCACAACAAAATACACCTTTTCCCAGCAACAATAGATCCTTCCATCAGCAATAGACCCCCAGCAACAACAGATGCCCCACAACAAAATACCCCTCCCCCTGCAACAGTGGATCCACCACAACAAAATACACCCATCAACAATAGACCCCCCAGCAAAAGCAGATGCCCTACAACAAAATACCCCCACCCACAACAATAGATCCACCAAAACAAAACACACCCTTCCCCCAGCTCAGTAGATCCCTCCATCAGCAATAGACCCCCCCAGCAACAACAGATGCCCTACAACAAAATACCCCTTCCCTCTGCAACAATAGATCCCTCCATCAGGAATAGACCCCCCAGGAACAACAGATTCCCTACAAAAAATACCTCTTCCCCCCCCACAACAATATAACCCCTGCAACAATAGATCCACCACAACAAAACAGACCCTTCCCCCAGCAACAGTAGATCCCCCCACACCAGCAATACACCCCCCCAGCAACAACAGATGCCCTACAACAAAATACCCCTTCCCTCTACAACAATAGATCCACCACAACAAAATATCCCTTACCCCCTGCAACAATAGATCGACCAAAACAAACGACACCCTTCCCCCAGCAACAATAGACCCCCAGCAAGAAAATACCCCCTCGCCAAAAAAACAATAGACTTCTCACAGCAACAATAGATCCCCTATAATAAAATACCCCTTTCTGCCAGCAATAGACCCCATGCTACAAAATACCCCCCTCCCCCTCCCCCAGCAACAATAGATCCACCAAAGCAACAATAGACACCACCAGCAAAAACAGATCAGGACAGCATCTAAAGATCCTCCAGCAGCCATAAATATAAACCCCCCCCCAAAAAAAAAAAAGTAGATAACTAGCAACATAAGACCCCCTCCCAGTGAGCCAACATTGATAGACCCTCCAGGACATTGATAGACCGGCACCCCTTGCCATTACATACATTCAGTGCTGGAACTGCGCAATTTCTAAAGTAGTTCTTGCATTACTTTTTCTGCGGTTTTGTTGCGATTAAAAAAAAAAAAACACTTTAAAAAAACCAAAACCAATCACAATACATACCCCATTTTTTTTTTTTTTTAAATATGAAAAATGTTAAACAAAGTAAATAGATACCCAAACGTCACACTTCAGAACTGAGCGCGCTCGCAAAACGGCGCCCAACTGCGGTATTTACAAATCAAATAGGCGACGCTTCAAACGTTTCTACAGATTTCCAGTTTAGAGTTACGGAGAAGGTCTGGCGCTAAAATCATTTCTCGCTCCGATGTTCGCGCGGCGATACCTCCCGTGTGCGGTGACACCGTCTACCTATGTGGGCGTGACCTACGTATGTGTTCACCGCTGTGTGCGAGCGCAAGGGGGGCTCTTCGAAATTCTTTATATTCATTTTTTTAATTTTTTTTTTACACTTTTCCCTTTATATTTTGTTTATCACTTTTATCTCTATCTCACGGAATGACAGGTCCTCTTTATGGGGAGATCTGAGGTCTGAAAGACCCCCCAAAAAATTAAAAAATTTTTTTTAAAAAGGTGATTATTTTAACCCCTTCCAGTCCGGACATTTTCCCCCCTTCCAGTCCAGACACTGCCCCCCCCTTCCAGTCCGGACACTGCCCCCCCCTTCCAGTCCGGACACTTTTCCCCCCCTTCCAGTCCGGACACTTTCCCCCCCTTCCAGTCCGGACACTTTCCCCCCCTTCCAGTCCGGACACTTTCCCCCCCCTTCCAGTCCGGACACTTTCCCCCCCCCCCTTCCAGTCCGGACACTTCCCCCCCTTCCAGTCCGGACACTTTCACCCCCTTCCAGTCCGGACACTTTCCCCCCTTCCAGTCTGGACACTTTCCCCCCCCTTCCAGTCCGGACACTTTCCCCCCTTCCAGTCCAGACACTTTCACCCCCTTCCAGTCCGGACACTTTCCCCCCCTTCCAGTCCGGACACTTTCCCCCCCCCCCCTTCCAGTCCGGACACTTCCCCCCCTTCCAGTCCGGACACTTTCACCCCCTTCCAGTCCGGACACTTTCCCCCCCTTCCAGTCCGGACACTTCCCCCCCCTTCCAGTCTGGACACTTTCACCCCCTTCCAGTCCGGACACTTTCCCCCCTTCCAGTCCGGACACTTTCCCCCCCTTCCAGTCCGGACACTTTCCCCCCCTTCCAGTCCGGACACTTTCACCCCCTTCCAGTCCGGACACTTTCCCCCCCCTTCCAGTCCGGACACTTTCCCCCCCTTCCAGTCCGGACACTTTCCCCCCTTCCAGTCCGGACACTTTCACCCCCTTCCAGTCCGGACACTTTCCCCCCCTTCCAGTCCGGACACTTTCACCCCCCTTCCAGTCCGGACACTTTCCCTCCCTTCCAGTCCGGACACTTTCCCCCCTTCCAGTCCGGACACTTTCACACCCCCTTCCAGTCCGGACACTTTCACCCCCTTCCAGTCCGGACACTTTCACCCCCCCTTCCAGTCCGGACACTTTCCCTCCCTTCCAGTCCGGACACTTTCCCCCCTTCCAGTCCGGACACTTTCCCCCCTTCCAGTCCGGACACTTTCCCCCCCTTCCAGTCCGGACACTTTCCCCCCCCCTTCCAGTCCGGACACTTTCCCCACCTCCTTGCCCCTCAGGCCAATTTTCAGCTTTCAGCGCTATCACACTTTGAATGACAATTGCGCGGTCATGCAACACTGTGCCCGTATGAATTTGTTAGCATTTTTTGAGACCGATAAAACTTTATTTTGGTGGTATTTATTCACCGCTGGGATTTTAGTTTTTTTTGCTATATAAATGAAAAAGTCCAAAAAATTTTCATAAAATGTTGCAAATAAATAATCTTTCATCATAAATCTTGGCCAAAATGTATTCAGTTATCTTTTTAGGAAAAAAAAATAATCCAAATTAGTTTATAACCAAAAATTATAATTTTTCTAATTTTTTTTTTACATTTTTATTTTATTTTTTTATATTACTATTTATGTTTTTTTACATACTGTCACCCTAGCAGTAGTATCTCCATGGTGACACTGCACTACTTGTGGGGGTGATGAAGATTTTTTTGAATGTCCCACAGGTGGACTCCAACCCTCTGAATGTCCCACAGGTGGACTCCAACCCTCTGAATGTCCCACAGGTGGACTCCATTCAACTGAATGTCCCACAGGTGGACTCCAACCCTCTGAATGTCCCACAGGTGGACTCCAACCCTCTGAATGTCCCACAGGTGGACTCCAACCCTCTGAATGTCCCACAGGTGGACTCCAACCCTCTGAATGTCCCACAGGTGGACTCCAACCCTCTGAATGTCCCACAGGTGGACTCCAACCCTCTGAATGTCCCACAGGTGGACTCCATTCAACTGAATGTCCCACAGGTGGTCTCCAACCCTCTGAATGTCCCACAGGTGGACTCCATTCAACTGAATGTCCCACAGGTGGACTTCAATCCTCTGAATGTCCCACAGGTGGACTCCAACCCTCTGAATGTCCCACAGGTGGACTCCATTCAATTGAATGTCCCACAGGTGAACTCCAATCCACTGAATGTCCCACAGGTGGACTCCATTCAATTGAATGTCCCACAGGTGGACTTCAATCCTCTGAATGTCCCACAGGTGGACTTCAATCCTCTGAATGTCCCACAGGTGGACTCCAACCCTCTGAATGTCCCACAGGTGGACTCCATTCAACTGAATGTCCCACAGGTGAACTCCAATCCACTGAATGTCCCACAGGTGGACTCCATTCAATTGAATGTCCCACAGGTGAACTCCAATCCACTGAATGTCCCACAGGTGGACTCCAATCCACTGAATGTCCCACAGGTGGACTCCTATCCACTGAATGTCCCACAGGTGGACTCCTATCCACTGAATGTCCCACAGGTGGACTCCAATCCACTGAATGTCCCACAGGTGGACTCTAATCCACTGAATGTCCCACAGGTGGACTCCTTCAACTGAATGTCCCACAGGTGGACTCCAATCCACTGAATGTCCCACAGGTGGACTCCAATCAACTGAATGTCCCACAAGTGGACTCCAATCAAGTTGTGGAAACATCTCAAGGATGATCGGTGAGAACTGGATGCACCAGAGCTCAATTCTGAGTGTAATGGTAAAGGCTGCAAATACTTATGTACATGAAGGGGGAGGGGGTCCTTTGTTTTTTATTTTTAATATGACGGGCCCCCCCCGACTTCTCCATCAAGATCAATAAACACAACCATCAGTCCCTCCCCTCATGCCAGGGTACGAGGTGTATTCCAGGACTCCCATCTGTCCTTTCAGCCCCAAATCCAATCACTGCCCAAATCTTGTAGACTTCACCTCCGCAACATCTCCAACCTCTGCAACATCTCCAACCTCCGCAACATCTCTAACCTCCGCAACATCTCCAACCTCCGCAACATCTCCAACCTCCGCAACATCTCCAACCTCTGCAACATCTCCAACCTCCGCAACATCTCCAACCTCCGCAACATCTCCAACCTCCGCAACATCTCCAACCTCCGCAACATCTCCAACCTCCGCAACATCTCCAACCTCCGCAACATCTCTAACCTCCGCAACATCTCTAACCTCCGCAACATCTCCAACCTCCGCAACATCTCTAACCTCCGCAACATCTCTAACCTCCGCAACATCTCTAACCTCCGCAACATCTCTAACCTCCGCAACATCTCTAACCTCCGCAACATCTCCAACCTCCGCAACATCTCCAACCTCCGCAACATCTCCAACCTCCGCAACATCTCCAACCTCCCTAACATCTCCAACCTCCGCAACGTCTCTAACCTCCACAACATCTCCACGATACGCCCGTTCCTAACCTCGGAAACCACTAAGCAACTTATTCCCTCCCTGGTTATATCTCGCCTTGACTATAGTAACACCCTCCTCATTGGCCGACCTCGTCAGGTTGTCGCACGTCGTACGATTGCAGCAAACTTTATTTATATACTGAAAGAAATATTTGGGCTGCCATTGTTGACTAACGGCCTGCCTGTCATCCTGATCCTCTGGCTTCTCTGATTTCTTACTGTCAGACCATGGAATTAGTTTTTTCTTTCTGACTTCACTTGCTGCATGCTTGTCGGCAATGGCGGCCCGTGTTGTTTCCTCATTAGAGATTCCCTCTCATGTCCTCACACTGTGCTCTCTGGGGGTGGTGATGTGACCCTCGGTCCTCGGGCTTATAGAAGTAATAGGATTATTCATCTACAGATAATGAGAGTGGTGATCCGGTCTCCGTGTCTTAATGACCTGTCATCTCAGGAGACGGGAAATTCTCCGTTTCCATGATAACCAGATCCTATTAATTAGCCAGCGTGCAGGACGACACCGCAGGCTTGGCGGGTCACATGTGGCAGATGATGCTTCGGGTCTGTGCTAGACATAGGAGGCTCTGTGGGGGTTGTAGTTGCTGTACTTAGACAAGCATGATAACGCGTGGCACTATAACTCCCAGCATGCCCGGCCACCCTCAGCAAATCAAAAGTGTTTGATACTTTGAGGCCTGAGGAGCATGCATTGGAGCTGATTTGGGTTCTGAACTGCATGCATTGCAGTTGATCTGAGATATGAAGTGCAGCATTGTAGCTGATCTGAGATGGGAAGTGCAGCATTGCAGCTGATCTGACGTGTGAAGTGCAGCATTTTAGTTGATCAGAAGTGTGAAGTGCAGCATTTTAGTTGATCTGAGGTGTGAAGTGCAGCATTGTAGCTGAGCTGAGGTGTGAAGTGCATGCATTGTAGCTGAGCGGAGGTGTGAAGTGCATGCATTGTAGCTGAGCGGAGGTGTGAAGTGCAGCATTGTAGCTGAGCGGAGGTGTGAAGTGCAGCATTGTAGCTGAGCGGAGGTGTGAAGTGCAGCATTGTAGCTGATGTGAGGTGTGAAGTGCAGCATTGTAGCTGAGCGGAGGTGTGAAGTGCAGCATTGTAGCTGAGCGGAGGTGTGAAGTGCAGCATTGTAGCTGAGCGGAGGTGTGAAGTGCAGCATTGTAGCTGAGCGGAGGTGTGAAGTGCAGCATTGTAGCTGATGTGAGGTGTGAAGTGCAGCATTGTAGCTGAGCGGAGGTGTGAAGTGCAGTATTGTAGCTGAGCGGAGGTGTGAAGTGCAGTATTGTAGCTGAGTGGAGGTGTGAAGTGTGCAGTATTGTAGCTGAGCGGAGGTGTGAAGTGCAGTATTGTAGCTGAGCGGAGGTGTGAAGTGCAGTATTGTAGCTGAGCGGAGGTGTAAAGTGCATGCATTGTAGCTGATGTGAGGTGTGAAGTGCAGCATTGTAGCTGATCTGAGCTGTGAAGTGCAGTATTGTAGCTGAGCGGAGGTGTGAAGTGCAGCATTGTAGCTGAGCGGAGGTGTGAAGTGCAGTATTGTAGCTGAGCGGAGGTGTGAAGTGCAGCATTGTAGCTGAGCGGAGGTGTGAAGTGCAGTATTGTAGCTGAGCGGAGGTGTGAAGTGCAGCATTGTAGCTGAGCGGAGGTGTGAAGTGCAGTATTGTAGCTGAGCGGAGGTGTGAAGTGCAGTATTGTAGCTGAGCGGAGGTGTGAAGTGCAGCATTGTAGCTGAGCGGAGGTGTGAAGTGCAGCATTGTAGCTGAGCGGAGGTGTGAAGTGCAGCATTGTAGCTGAGCGGAGGTGTGACGTGCAGCATTGTAGCTGAGCGGAGGTGTGAAGTGCAGCATTGTAGCTGAGCGGAGGTGTGAAGTGCAGCATTGTAGCTGAGCGTGAGGTGTGAAGTGCAGCATTGTAGCTGATCTGAGGCTGTGAAGTGCAGCATTGTAGCTGATGTGAGGTGTGAAGTGCAGCATTGTAGCTGAGTGAGGGTTTGAAGTGCAGCATTGTAGCTGAGCGGAGGTGTGAAGTGCAGCATTGTAGCTGAGCGGAGGTGTGAAGTGCAGCATTGTAGCTGAGCGGAGGTGTGAAGTGCAGCATTGTAGCTGAGCGGAGGTGTGAAGTGCAGCATTGTAGCTGAGCGGAGGTGTGAAGTGCAGCTGTCACCAGCAGTGTAGAGGTTAAGCAGACAAATGCCGCTCACTTGCCGGAGGAGTTTCAGCAAACATGAAAGTGACAACCTTGATAGGATAAACACGAGAGTCCCGTTTCCATAGAAACACATTACCTGCAGCCCTCAGGAACGCATGAAATACAACTTAATGCGGCGCAGAGAATGACGGGTCATCTATATATACTGCGTGGGTGTGTATATACTGTAGATATATATCTTGATTGCCGCATTTGACTCTTGTGGAACCTGATGGAAGACCCCGCACCACATTGACGTGCGCCGCACCGTTGCGGGGGCGTTCCTGCCTGCGCTGTCACAAACATCAACACGCGGCACAACGGCAGCCATCTATGTATGGGCGTCGGGTCGCATTTTCTTTTCCTTTGAGGAATGAGCATTCACCAAACCGCAGGCCGGTCCTTGTGAGTGACACTCGGGTAGGAAATATTGATCACTTCCAAATTGCCCTGCGTGGGGCGCTATACAAATACTTGTACTGCCATGTGACTGCCAGGGGAGGACATAGCGATCACACGTGATGACGTATGATGAATCGTCACAAAACAACAACAGAACGAACCCCTCGCCCTCCGGAGGATTCCCCCCTCCCGCCCTCCAGAGGATTCCCCCCTCTTGCCCTCCGGAAGATTCCCCCCCCCCCTCGCCCTCCAGAGAATTCCCCCCCCCCCTCTCGCCCTCCAGAAGATTTCCCCCCCTCTCGCCCCCGGAAGATTCCCCCCCTCGCCCTCCGGAGGATTCCCCCCCCTCGCCCTCCGGAGGATTCCCCCCTCTTGCCCTCCGGAAGATTCCCCCCCTCGCCCACCGGAGGATTCCCCCCCTCTTGCCCTCCGGAAGATTCCCCCCCTCGCCCTTCAGAGGATTCCCCCCCTCTCACCCTCCGGAGGATTCCCGCCCTCTTGCCCTCCAGAAGATTCCCCCCCTCGCCCTCCAAAGGATTCCCGCCCTCTCGCCCTCCAGAGGATTCCCCCCCCCTCGCCCTCCAAAGGATTCCCGCCCTCTTGCCCTCCAGAGGATTCCCCCCTCTTGCCCTCCGGAAGATTCCCCCCCCCCCTCGCCCTCCAGAGAATTCCCCCCCCCCCTCTCACCCTCCAGAAGATTCCCCCCCTCTCGCCCTCCGGAAGATTCCCCCCCTCGCCCTCCGATTCCCCCCACCCCCCTCGCCCTCCGGAAGATTCCCCCCCTCGCCCCGGGATTCCCCCCCCCTCGCCCTTCAGAGGATTCCCCCCCTCCTCCCGGAGGATTCCCCCCCTCTTGCCCTCCAGAAGATTCCCCCCCTCCCCCCAAAAGATTCCCGCCCTCTCGCCCTCCAGAGGATTCCCCCCCCCCTCGCCCTCCGGAGGATTGCCCCCCCCCTCGCCCTCCAGAGGATTTCCCCCCCTAGGTTGGCTGTAAAGGGCCCTGTGGTTTGGGGGGGCTTGTTAGGTTGGCTGTATGGGGCCCTGTGTTTTGGGGGGGCTCTGTCAAGTTGGCTGTAAGGGGCCCTGTGGTTTGGGGGGGGCCCTGTCAGTTTGGCTGTAAGGGGCCTTGTGGTTTGGGGGGCCCTGTCAGGTTGGCTGTAAAGGGCCCTGTGGTTTGGGGGGGCTTGTTAGGTTGGCTGTATGGGGCCCTGTCAGGTTGGCTTTATGGGGCCTTGTGGTTTGGGGGGGGGGCTGTCAGGTTGGCTGTAAGGGGCCTTGTGATTTGGGGGGGCTTGTTAGGTTGGCTGTAAGGGGCCCTGTGATTTACGGGGGCTTGTTAGGTTGGCTGTATGGGGCCCTGTGGTTTGGGGGGCCCTGTCAGATTGGCTGTAAGAGGCCCCTTGGTTTGGGGAGCCCTGTCAGGTTGTCTGTAAGGGGTTCTGTGGTTTGGGGGGGCCCTGTCAGGTTGGCTTTATGGGGCCCTGTGGTTTGGGGGGGGCGCGTCAGGTTGGCTGTAAGGGGCCTTGTGATTTGGGGGGGCTTGTTAGGTTGGCTGTAAAGGGCCCTGTGATTTGGGGGGCCCTTGTTAGGTTGGCTGTATGGGGCCCTGTGGTTTAGGGGGCCCTGTCAGGTTGTCTGTAAGGGGCCCTGTGGTTTGGTGGGGCCCTGTCAGGTTGTCTGTAAGGGGCCCTGTGGTTTGGTGGGGCCCTGTCAGATTGGCTGTAAGAGGCCCTGTGGTTTGGGGAGCCCTGTCAGGTTGTCTGTAAGGGGCCCTGTGGTTTTGGGGGCCCTGTCAGGTTGGCTGTAAGGGGCCCTGTGGTTTTGGGGGCCCTGTCAGGTTGGCTGTAAGGGGCCCTGTGGTTTTGGGGGCCCTGTCAGGTTGGCTGTAAGGGGCCCTGTGGTTTGGGGGGGCCCTGTCAGGTTGGCTGTATGGGGCCCCGTGGTTTCTAACAGCAGACCCTGCTCACCACAGTCGTGTTGATTTCCATTTATTGGCCCCAGTGACCTGAATCGCGCTGATGTCCGGAAAGTCGGCGCAATGTACAAACGTTAAACAACGGATCGCCTTTGATGTTCGCGGGGAATGTTACGCCATCGCGCTGAGCGACACACGGGAGCTGAAGAACACAGAGACCGCCGACTTGTAAAACTCGACAGCAGCAGAAAGAATCGTAAAACTGTTCGGAGACTCGAGAGCCACGCAGGACCCCAGGCGGCTTCCGATAAACGGCTTACAAGTCGCAGAAGCTGACAATCAGCAGACGCCGCTCTCCGTATCCAGCGCTGGGGACGCCTGCGGGGAGTCAGCAAAGTCGTGACTCAAACACCCCCCCACCCCCACCGCCGCCGACACGCCGCGCAGACGCTCGCAGGTCAAAAAATATTTCATGATGCCGGCGTTGCCCAGAGACAGATTCAAACAGTTCTCGGTAAACGTAAGTGACGCGCTCGGACCGCGGCGCTGAAAGTAGCGGCTCATTACAGGGTTCACCGATGGGGCACAATGATGGGTTCTTGCGGGAAAATATTTATTAAAATGAAAAAGTTTACGGAATTCTCCTCGGGTGGAAATCATTTGTTGAGCTGCGTCTCTCTATAGACGCACACGGGGGGGGGGGGGGGGCTTCTATTTATAGACCTTATGACCCAACTCTACACACACCGTATATATATATATATATATATACACCATACTGCCCCAAGTACCGGCCGGCCCTTCCCACACACATGACCTTTAATGGCCCCCCAGTCTTAGTCCGTAGGGTTCAATATTGAGTTGGCCCCGCCCTTTCCCACACACATGACCTTCAATGGCCCCCCAGTCTTAGTCCGTAGGGTTCATTATTGAGTTGGCCCCGCCCTTTCCACGCACATGACCTTTAATGGCCCCCCAGTCTTAGTCCGTAGGGTTCAATATTGAGTTGGCCCCGCCCTTTCCACGCACATGACCTTTAATGGCCCCCCAGTCTTAGTCCGTAGGGTTCAATATTGAGTTGGCCCCGCCCTTTGCAGCTATAACAGCTTCAACTCTTCTGGGAAGGCCGCCCACAAGGTTTAGGAGGGTGTCTATGGGAAGGTTGGACTATTCTTCCAGAAGCACATTTGTCAGGTCAGGCACTGATGTCGGGGGAGGAGGCCTGGCTCTGATGTCGGGGGAGGGGGCCTGGCTCGCAGTCTCCGCTCTAATTCATCCCAAAGGTGTTCTATGGGGTTGAGGTCAGGACTCTGTGCAGGACAGTCAAGTTCCTCCACCCCAAACTGGCTCCTCCATGTCTTTATGGACCTTGCTTTGTGCACTGGTGGGCAGTCATGTTGGAACAGGAAGGGGCCATCCCCAAACTCCTCCCACAAAGTTGGGAGCATGAAATTGTTCAAAATGTCACCTTAAGAGTTCCCTTCACTGGAACTAGGGGGCCAAGCCCAACCCCCTGAAAAACAACCCCCACACCATAGCCCCCCTCCACCAAACTTTACACTTGGCACAATGCAGTCAGGCAAGTACCGTTCTCCTGGCCAACTGCCAAACCCAGACATGTCCATCGGATGACCAGACAGAGAAGTGTGATTGGTCCTCCAGAGAACACATCTCCTCTGCTCTAGAGTCCAGTGGCAGCGTGCTTTACACCACGGCATCCGACGTTTTGCATTGCACTTGGTGGTGGAAGGCTTGGATGCAGCTGCTCGGCCATGGAAACCCATTCCATGAAGCTCTCTACGCACTGTTGTTGGGCTCATCTGAAGGCCACACCAAGTTTGGAGGTCTTTAGCTATTGACTCTGCAGACAGTTGGTGACTTCTGCGCACTGTGTGCTTCAGCATGCGCTGACCCCGCCCTGTCATGTGACGTGGCCTACCACTTGGTGGCTGAGTGGCTGTTGTTCCCAGTTGCTTCCACTTTGTTATAATCCCACTAACAGTTGAGCGTGGAATATTTAGTAGCCAGGAAATGTCACGGATGGACTTATTGCCCAGGTGGCCACCTATCACGGGACCACGCTTGGAGTCACTGAGCTCCTGAGAGCGACCCATTCTTTCACCAATGTTTGTGGAAGCCGTCTGCATGCCTATGGGCTTGATTGTATACACCTGTGTCCATGGAGGGGATTGGAACACCTGAATCACATGATATGGAGGGGATTGGAACACCTGAATCACATGATATGGAGGGGATTGGAACACCTGAATCACATGATTGGGAGGGGATTGGAACACCTGAATCACATGATATGGGGGGATTGGAACACCTGAATCACATGATATGGAGGGGATTGGAACACCTGAATCACATGATTGGGAGGGGATTGAAACACCTGAATCACATGATATGGGGGGATTGGAGCACCTGAATCACATGATATGGGGGGATTGGAGCACCTGAATCACATGATAGGGAGGGGATTGGAACACCTGAATCACATGATAGGGAGGGGATTGGAACACCTGAATCACATGATTGGGAGGGGATTGGAACACCTGAATCACATGATTGGGAGGGCGGGGACAATACTTTGGGCAATATAGTGTATATATATATATATATATAATATAAAGACAAGTATATAGGGCTATTGTATAGTTCACACAAACTGGATCATGAGAGGGAGGTTGCAGGGAACAGATTGTGTGCAAGCAACCAGTCTCAGCTGGGAGCACTATGAAAAGCCTGCTGTCTGCAGTGAAGGGAGAAGTTTAAACATTCACTGGTTGATTGCTCTCCTCCTTTTGATTGAAGTGACTCCTCCCCTTCCCTCTCTCCATGTGGGTAGGGGGTGTTAAAAATGCAACGGCTGAGCCACATTTTTAGCGCCCTCCTCCCCGCTGCAATGGTAGCAGACAGCAGTGATCACCACGGGTGCTTTGCAACAAGCCCACCAAATGCAACCCATTCAAGCGCATGGGGCAGCGCTGCAAAGCCCCAAATCACGCAAACTGCATGCGATCGTGCCTCGTTTTGGGGTCTGAACAGGCGGTGAGGAGGAGTTGCAGTTCCTGTTCCCTGCCTGTCAATCACCTCGTCTGTCTGCCCTCGTGTTGTGCGGCGCCCTCGTCTGTCCGCCCTCGTGTTGTGCGGCGCCCTCGTCTGTCCGCCCTCGTGTGTTGTACGGCGCCCTCGTCTGTCCGCCCTCGTGTTGTGCGGCGGCGCCCTCGTCTGTCCGCCCTCGTGTTGTGCGGCGCCCTCGTCTGTCCGCCCTCGTGTTGTACGGCGCCCTCGTCTGTCCGCCCTCGTGTTGTACGGCGCCCTCGTCTGTCCGCCCTCGTGTTGTACGGCGCCCTCGTCTGTCCGCCCTCGTGTTGTTCGGCGCCCTCGTCTGTCCGCCCACGTGTTGTACGGCGCCCTTCGTCCGCCCTCGTGTTGTACGGCGCCCTCGTCTGTCCACCTGTCATGTTGTACGGCGCCCTCGTCTGTCCACCCTCGTGCTGTACGGCGCCCTCGTCTGTCCGCCCTCGTGTTGTACGGCGCCCTCGTCTGTCCGCCCTCGTGTTGTACGGCGCCCTCGTCTGTCCGCCCACGTGTTGTACGGCGCCCTCGTCTGTCCGCCCACGTGTTGTACGGCGCCCTCGTCTGTCCGCCCACGTGTTGTACGGCGCCCTCGTCTGTCCGCCCTCGTGTTGTTCGGCGCGCTCGTCTGTCCATCCTCGTGTTGTACGGCGGCGCCCTCGTGTTGTACGGCGCCCTCGTCTGTCCGCCCTCGTGTTGTTCGGCGCCCTCGTCTGTCCGCCTTCGTGTTGTACGGCGCCCTCGTCTGTCCGCCCTCGTGTTGTACGGCGCCCTCGTCTGTGCCCTCGTGTTGTACGGCGCCCTCGTCTGCCCCCTCGTGTGTTGTACGGCGCCCTCGTCTGCCCTCGTGTTGTACGGTGCCCTCGTCTGTCCGCCCTCGTGTTGTGTTGTACGGCGCCCTCGTGTTGTACGGTGCCCTCGTCTGTCCGCCCTCGTGTTGTGCGGCGCCCTCGTCTGTCCGCCCTCGTGTTGTTCGGCGCCCTCGTCTGTCCGCCCTCGTGTTGTTCGGCGCCCTCGTCTGTCCGCCCTCGTGTTGTACGGCGCCCCGTCTGTCGCCCTCGTGTTGTGTCGTCTGTCCGCCCTCGTGTTGTACGGCGCCCTCGTCTGTCCGCCCTCGTGTTGTACGGCGCCCTCGTCTGTCCGCCCTCGTGTTGTACGGCGCCCCTCGTCTGTCCGCCCTCTGTCCGCCCCCTCGTGTGTTGTACGGCGCCCTCGTCTGTCCGCCCTCGTGTTGTACGGCGCCCTCGTCTGTCCGCCCTCGTGTTGTACGGCGCCCTCGTCTGTCCGCCCTCGTGTTGTACGGCGCCGTCTCGTCTGTCCGCCCTCGTGTTGTACGGCGCCCTCGTCTGTCCGCCCTCGTGTTGTACGGCGCCCTCGTCTGTCCGCCCTCGTGTTGTACGGCGCCCTCGTCTGTCCGCCCTCGTGTTGTACAGCGCTGCGCACACTGTGGGCGCCATATAAATCCTGTATTATAATAATAATATCCTCATAATCTGGACTTCCGGGTATATATATATATATACAGTGGATATAAAAAGTCTTCACACCCCTGTCAAAATGTCAGGTTTCTGTACAAAAATGAGACAAAGATAAATAATTTCAGAATTTTTTCCACCTTTAATGTGACCTAAAAACTGAGCAACAAACTGAAATCTTTTAGGTGGGGGGAAGTAAAAATAAAAAACTAAAATAATCTGGTTGCATAAGTGTTCACATCCTTACACTGATCCTTTGTTGAAGCCCCTTCTGATGTGATTCCAGCATTCAGCCTGGAATCATAGACACCCCCCAACAGTAGATCCATTTCAGCCGCCATGAACAATAGATCCCCCAGCAGCAACAATTGACCTTCCCAACAACAATAGACCTTCTCAGCAACAATAGATCACCTTCAGTGACAATAGATCCATCGCATCAACAATAGACCTTCTCAGCAACAATAGATCACCTTCAGTGACAATAGATCCATCGCATCAACAATAGACCTTCCCAGCAACAATAGACCGCCACACAAAAATAGATCACCTTCAGTGACAATAGATCCCCCACTAGAAACATTAGACCTTCCAGCAACAATAGACCACCACACAAAAATAGATCACCTTCAGTGACAATAGATCCCTCGCAGCAACGATAGACCTTCCCAACAACAATAGACCACCACACAAAAAATATATCACCTTCAGTGACAATAGATCCCCCACCACAAACAAGAGACCTTCCCAGCAACAATAGACCGCCACACAAAAATAGATCACCTTCGGTGACAATAGATCCCTCACAAGCAACAATAGACCCCCACTCAAAAATAGATCACCTTCAGGGACATCAGACCCCCCCGCAGAAACAATAGACCTTCTCAGCAACAATAGATCACCACTCAAAAATAGATCACCTTCAGTGACAATAGATCCCCGCAGCAACAACAGACCTTCCCAGCAACAATAGATCCCCCACACAATAATATATACCCTTCGGGGACAATAGACCCCCCAGCAGCCAGCAACAACAGATCCTCCAGCACATCCTAGCACCCCTTGCCATTACATACTTTCAGTGCTGCGTTCCCCCCGCATTCCCCCGCGTTTCCACCGTGTTCCCCCCCCATTCCCCCCCGCATTCCCCCGCGTTTCCACCGTGTTCCCCCCACGTTTCCCCCACATTCCCCCCGTGTTTCTGCCGCATTCCCCCCGAAAAAAAAATCCTGGTATATCTACACGCAGTATATATTATATATCAGCCCGATAGATGTTGGCGCTGATAAATGATACATCTCATTTTTGGAATATTCATTTCTGAACGTTGATGATGACCATGGAGGGGGAGGAGCTATCGCGGCGCGGCCGCCGTGACCGATGGCAGTTCCACATATAGCGATTGATTTCATTTGCGGGGAATCTGGCGGATATCTTTAGCGAGGGCCGCGAAGGTCCCTTTCTATTTTATCCCGTCCTATTCTGGACGCTGTCGTCATACTTTGCGCCCCGCCATTCGCGCGTCAGGCTGAGAAGACGATAGATCCTTTTTTTTTTTTTTTTTTTTCATGCCCGGAATTGCATCAGTGCTGCTATTATTGGGAGTTTTGTGCATCATTTGTGCGACTGCTAGAAAGACAACGGTATCCTGTTGTCATGGCAACCAACGCAGATTTCCTTTGCGGCATCAATAACTTCGGGACCCGGGTTGCTGCAGACGTCGTCACGCGACAAATACGGAGCGTCTAGCTGAACCCCCGGCAGCCCCCAGATTGCTAGATCTCGCACAGAGAATTTTCCCATCCTACCATTTAAAGGGGCAGAAGCCCTCCATTCTGTCCGTAGAGGGAAATATACGCACCGCGGGACCGCGTGTGGGCGCAGATTCTGCCTCAGCGCAGGTCGCAGGTGAAATCCCGAGGTTTTGGGTGTCGGGTGCATTTCAAACCGCCTCACTGAGGCTCCGTTCAGCCCATACGGGTGTGACGGGGTACGGGCATGTGTTTGCGCATTTTCCTCGCGTTCCTGGGCATCGCGTTTAGGGCAGTCCATTTGTTTCCATCGTTTTCCTAACATTCGAGAAACACGGGAAAAAGTCCAAAAAGAGCCGCGCCACACCAGAACCACGCCGTTTGGCTGGCATGAAAACGCGGATGTGTGGAGTTGGGGGGTGGCATCGCCATTTGCCAAATGGCAACGCATTTCTGGACATGTTGGGAAAGTGCGTGTTTTGTGTTTCTTCCATTTGTGAATGATTGCACCAACTGTTGTCACCTTCTCACCAAGCTGCTTGGCCATAGTTTGGTAGCCCAGTCCAGCCTTGTGTAGGTCTACCATCTTGTCCCTGACATCCTTGGACAGCTCTTTGCTCTTTGCCATGGTGGAGAGTTTGGAATCTGATGGTTTGATGGCTCCTGTGGACAGGTGTCTTTTATACAGGTAACACAATGAGATTAGCAGCACTCCCTTCCACCACCATGTTTCACAGTTGGGATGGTGTTCTTGGGGTCATAGGCAGCATTCCTCCCTCCTCCAAACACGGCGGGTTGAGTTGATGCCAAAGAGCTGGATTTTGGTCTCCTCTGACCACAACACTTCCCACCAGTCCTCCTCTGCATCATTCAGATGTTCAGTGGCAGACTTCAGACGGGCCTGGACATGTGCTTTCTTGAGCAGAGGGACCGTGCGGGCACTGCAGGATTTCAGTCCTTGTCGGCGTAGTGTGTTACCAATTGTTTTCTTGGTGACTGTGGTCCCAGCTGCCTGGAGATCATTGACAAGATCCTCACGTGTAGTTCTGGGATGATTCCTCACTGTTCTCATGATCATTGACACCCCACGAGGTGAGATCTTGCATGGTGCACCAGACCTAGGGAGACTGACACTTGTTTTGTGTTTCTTCCATTTGTGAATGATTGCACCAACTGTTGTCACCTTCTCACCAAGCTGCTTGGCCATAGTTTGGTAGCCCAGTCCAGCCTTGTGTAGGTCTACCATCTTGTCCCTGACATCCTTGGACAGCTCTTTGGTCTTTGCCATGGTGGAGAGTTTGGAATCTG